GTGTCAGTACACATATAATAAATCTGTCCAAAACTTATCTTCTCTCCGTTGAGAAATATCTTCAAAGTAATCCAACACTTCTTCTCCTCCCCGATCCAGCAAGAATGCAGTCTTCAATAAGCTAGCCAGTAAGAGCCAGAGAGTGCCTTGCTGCTTATATAGTACTTTTACAGCTGCACCCTTAATTACATTCCTTTAGCTTAAAGTCACATACACTTTATCTGACAAACCATACCTTATTTATTATTTTTACCCAAACCAGTTAGGGTAAACAATGTTATCCCTAACATTAGTTACCAATAGAAGAGAGCAGACTTGTAGCCTCATGGGTATTTTTGAAGCCTTTGGAATTGATTGCAACTATTATGTCAGGAATGCCATGAAGTCACAGAACTACACATTTGGAAGATGTCACTTAGGTATAACCTGGCTGACCTGATGATGCCCTTGCTCTATGCAAAAATAATAATATTAATAAAGCACCTATGACAGATAACTGTCCCAGTGAAGGAGAGTTCACAAATACTGGCAGATGTTCTTCAGCACCATCAGGTGAGCCAGCTCCATCTTAAATACAGGTGGTTCTTGACTTACAACAGTCCATTTAGCAAAGTTATAATGGCGCTGAAAAAAATGATTTATGACTGTTTTTCACACTTACAACTGTTGCAGCACCCCCATGGTCACATGATTAAAATTCAAACACTTGGCAACTGACTCGTATTTATGACGGTTGCAGTGTCCCAGGGTCACATGATCAGCTTCTGTAACCTTCTGACAAGCAAAGTCGGCGGGGGAGTCAGATTTACTTAACAACCATGTTACTAACTTAACAATTGCATTGATTCACTTAACAACTGTTTCACATAGCAACAGAAATGTTGGGCTCAATTATGGTTGTAAGTCAAGGACTACTTGTAATTCCCCACCTCTTTCTAAATGACTCCATCATTATACAGCTGCAAAATAAATATGTTCTACATTTGCTCTGGGAATTGCATATTCGTGCTGCAGTTTGACATTTATGTATCTCAGCTTTCACCATCTTTTTAGAGTTATGATCCTTGGAATGATCCTAATAAGTAACAACTGTTGTCTGTTCATGCTTTTTTCAGATGCTTAGATTATAAAGTCTGTAAAATAGTGGCTTGGCATTTGTGAAGTGTCCTACTTTATGAATTCTCAGAAAGGGAGTCCATTCAAAATGCCTTATTGAATTCTGAGAAAATCCCAAAGTCCACAAAGGAGAAGAGTCTTCAGATAAAAGATTGACACCAGTGTCAAACTTGATTGTGTCATGTGATGTATCGTGACATTTTTTTTTGCCTTTGCAGACTGGCCCAACTGGACGTGGCCTGTGCATGATGCATCCAGCCTACGGGCCGCCAGTTTGACACCCCTGTCATCCCTAATCTGTTCCCAGCCATGCATTTATCACCTCTATCAATTAAAAGAAACTCTTCAAATAAGAGACTTGGGCTTGTTCATATATTTTGAATTACTGAATAAACTTCAAACAACGAGAATCACATGATGACACACTAGTTTACCAACCACAGTGACTTTTATTATACATAAAGAGAAAACCAAAGAAATCACATTATATGACTTAGCACCATATGTGAATCCAGTCTCTATCTGAAAGCTTCTATAACAAAGCCTTTGTAACCTTGTAACAAAATAGGTGAAGGGTAGTCAACAATAAAGAAAATCTAAGTCTTTAGCAACCAGCAGTCTGCAAACCAACTCCAGGGTGTTTTCTGGCTTTTCATGCTGCAATCTAAATGTGAAAAAAGTGCATAATAAAAGCAGTATTTGTGGTTTATTAGCAGGTCTCTTTGAGGAGACAAAAATAAACCTTCTCCCACTAAAATAAAATAAGGTGCAACAGGATAATCCATAAAAAGGCCAAAGTTTGTAGGTAACAAGTGCAGTTTTTAACAAATACTGATATTGATAATATAATAAATAATGTTTCTACCTCAAATATGTTCTTATGTTTCTATTACAAAGGCAGAATTTTTTTCATGCAGAAGATCAGCATCAAGGTAACTGTGCTGGACTATGATCTGGAAGGCTGATGCACACAATTTTTAACCAATAGCCAGTTTGGACATATATTACACATCTTATTGGGTTGTTAAATAGAACGAGCCTTCTGCCTTTCCTTAGTATCCCTTGAGAATCATGAACCCTAATTATGGCTGAATCAGAAAGCCACAGATATCACTCAGTATGAAAACAAGTCAAGGACTTCAAGCTAGTAGTTGTGATTAGATTTTTTTTCATCTGAACCAGAAGACTATAATTAATGTAAGACTTTTATCTTATAACAATTCTGGAATGGAAAGGTAAACAGCAGCCTTGGAGACAAAAAAAGCTTATTTATAAAAGCTTATTTTGAATGCCTTGTGAACTTGTCGGCTTTAAACTAGCTTCCCGTATTGCTAAAATTGTACTTTATTCACAGAGGTTGCTATAGTTGTATGTAACAAAGACATAAAGCTAGCGATGGCATTCTTCTTACCCCTGGCTGTCTTAAACAAAGAAACTTTGCCCTGAATTTACAGCTGAAACAAGGTTATAATCACACTTGTCAAACAATTTTACAATGATTAGACCACACTACAAGTCTAAGGTCCTTCTCTGTTCCCTCTTCCACTTTTTGAAATGAAAAACAACTGCTAAAGCAACAGAAATTACTTTTAATTGAGCATACTGTTTCCACGTCTAAATAAGCAATGTAGAATAATAGCTATATGCAAACAAATCTTAAGATGTGATTAAAATCAGATATTTAATGTTCTTACATTTCAGTTATTTGAAGACACCTATACACTTGTTGAAATTAGAGTGCCAATTTTTAATATAAAGAAACACATAAAAATCAGAATTTAATTTAGTTTCTACCTTTAAAAATTAGGTCAATGCTTCTAGAAAAACTCCTTTATGATCACAAAGTCCTTCTTGAATTACTGTCTCTTGTGGACTGGGCATCTACAAACAAACTTCTTCTCTCTCCTTTTCACGAAGCACTACAACATAAATAAAAATTAATCAAGCCTACATATTTTTAAGAGTTTCAAAGACTAATTTACATAAGCTAATTATATTTAGTTAAGCCTAATAACCTATTTTATTACTGATTCTATCTAAACATTTTCCAAAGAAATCAGCAGAGTTGCCTGCTTTTTCTTCAGTAATATTTTCAATGTCTCCTTTGTATTTTTTGCTGATTAAGTGAAGCACTAGCCCAAATCACCAGTGATGCACTCACCCACATGTATCAAAGTGACAAATACAGTAATGTCTAGTTTCCAAGAAAACACATTCTTCAGCAAGAATATGTATAAACCATTGTCTCTCAGACATACTTAAAACAGTCTTCAGTAATTGCTTATTAAGAACAACTCTTCCCATGTTGTTCCTCTTTCTCAACAATATTCAGCTTGTTAAGTATCTAAGCATTATACAACCATCAAGTTAAGTTGCCATCTGAATCATATTTGATTAAGCCCACATTTTAGGGTATTTATTCTCCCAAGGCAATTATCAACATGATAAGATCACTAATTACTAAAGTAAAATAAAACAATATAAAAAAGAGCAAATGAATATAAGTTATTAAAATACTGGATCATAAAATTGCTTGTTGGAACAGCAAAATTATTAGGGTTCCCTTACAAATCATTTATGTGTTTGCATGGCCCCCTGAACCACAAACTACTTCTCATTTATGGTTTGTTTATAACCCTGAAAAGAGTGGCAAGTGGTGCAGGGGAAAAGCTGAACGACTTTGCCCAGGGAAATACAAAAGATGAACAGTGCATGACAGAAAGGGTTCAATTTGCTGGTATTTCAGAATCCAATTACTCTCAATGAGTTGAGGCACCCATTTTAAGACCAGGGGTTGCCTTTGAATCAGTCTTGACTCCCAGTGACTGCCTGGAAAAGTCCCTGAGGGCACCCTTAGCAAGGTATTTTAGAAATGGTTTGTCCTTGCCTGCTTCCTGAGGTCACTCAACTGGTTTCCTGCTTAAGGAGGACTAGAACTTGAAGTTCCTAGCTTGTTGCTTTAACCACTATAACCAAACTGGCTCTCTGATAAATAAACAAACATAGATAAAAACTGTTCGGAAATATTTCAGATTAACACTTTAAATTTGGCACAGAAATTAGTAAGCCAGCAATGAAGCTGATATTGAATTCTTTATTGTCATTGTACGTATATACACAGTATGCATACAATGAAATTCACAATTATGATACATAAGGAATGAAGTAGGTCTCAAATGCATTATTCCTCTATGATTTAGGCAAATGTTCCATCATTCTCTTTATTTTTCTCCATCTAGAATTACAGTTAAAAGATTCATATTTTCTTGGTAAGTTAAAACATGTTCCTCTGAAAATCCCAGACTCCATTTCAGAGGAAACTAACTGATAAAGTCTTGAAATAAACAGTCATGCTAATACACTGAAAAGAAAGAGAAATCTTTTATCTGAACACGACATTCATATCTCACTCACTCAAATGAACTTCCTCATTTTATCCAAGGGCAACCCTATGTGACTTAACTTTTTCAGTCTCACAACAAGCATCTGTTCAGTAAGAACTGGTGGGGACCACAAAACCAAGTAACAAAAAATGAAAAAGCTAAATTGCTCTGGGATTTTAGAATTCAAGCAGGCAGATAGTACCACGTAATACCGCAGACTTAACAATTATTGATAAAAAGGCAAAAAAGATTGGATAGTGGATGTTGCAATACCTGGAGATAGATACTAGAAAAGAACTGGAGAAAAATTACAAAGGCCTGCAAATAGAAGTAGAATGACTGTGGTAGAAGAAAGCCAATATAATACTGTTGGAAGAAAAATCCTTCTGGGTTCAGTTCCAAGAGGGGAAAAAGACACTTGAAACCTGGAGGCTGTTTGGAAGGTTTAATGGTGGACAGCAGGACCACATGGCCTGGAGCTCCAGAGTGAAAAGGAAGGATGATCACATGCTTCAAGGTGAAGGAAGAGATCAAAAAAGGGCTGAGGTGCTGAGAGTGCCTGGGTTTTATAACCTTTGTTGGGATTTGAATTGGAGCTTGTATTCTGATTGGTTGTCAGACTCCCATGAGGCCATGCAGGGGCAACTCTCTAGGCTGTCCTGAGTCCCAGGCTTGGTTGAACCTTGCTGGATGATGATGCACTGAAAAGGGCTTTTGAGCAATTGCTATAGCTTTACCTGGAGATCTTTGTTATGTAAAGTATTCTGGCCTTAATGGCCCACCCATTAACAAAGGTGGGGGTGAGCTTCTGCTTCTGAGGTGAGTTTCTGCTCTTGAGTTTCTACTCTTTTTAGGGGAAATATTCTGCCTTTTTAATATTTCCTAGGATATTTCAATTTTCTAGGAGAGGGGTGGGTGCTAACTTCCTA